AATTTCACGCACCAGCGCATGAAAGCTGAATTCGAAACCTTGAAGGGTGAATATCTTTCCGTGACTTACCCGCAAAAAACTTTCACGGGGCCGTACGAGTTACCCGCGGGTAAGGGAAGGCTGAATTTGAATTTGCCGCATCACCCGTTGGCGGGGAACACTATACCAAAATTTCAGCCGCCTAGCTTATGTGGTCCCCGAGTTGAAAGTGCGGGAAAAAATGTGGGACACACACACACACAAACAAGCACACACACACACAGATAACCCCGTAACAATATGCGTTTTATAACGCTGTTACCCAGCACAAAACGCATAATAAAAACTGCATTGAATAATGTCCCGACGTAGCTCTTCTTACAGCAGTGGCCGTCATGGAAATGTGTAAGACAATGCATAAGAGATAAGCTGAAGGCTCACACAAACCGCAAAAAAACTATGATACATCTGGCATTTCCTTCTTGAAGAGAAAGAAGCAAGGGCATAGAGCGAAACACTAGGATCAATAGTACCTGGTTGACCACCAGCTGACGCAGCTTTGAACACGTGAAAATACGAATGACGCGAAGATGAGCTACTGAAGTAATATGTAAAATAGTGCAAAGTGTTCCCATGTTCAACGCGCAAATCACAATAAAAACGGTACCAATGAATTAATTAAAAACTAACTTCCTCACTACAAAAAGTCGCCGACGGTTCAGTGGAAGTTAGAAAGCAATTCAAGAAATGCGCAACCGCTGCTGCGGACTGCGCTGCCGATACAGGCTGCAAGTAACCGCGAAACATATGCTTAGCACATCGGCACAACAACTCAGCCACAGAAATTATCTGAAAAGAAGACAAACAGCGTTTCAGATTGCTTATAAGGCAGCGCTGCTTCCAATTCAGTGGAACTGAACAACCTACCGTCATTTCCACAAATAACAGTATCAGAATCGTTTCCAAACAAACCTTGAGATATGCAAGCTGTCTGACATTCTGTATGCATCTGATCAGTTTGCCGAGATAGCGTATATTGATACCGCGTGTGTGCATTGCTTCACTCAGCGAGGCACCATCGAGCGGCATTACTGAGCGTTGTAAGCAGTCGCGGACAAGATTTGGCAGTTGCTTAAACAAAACTAATCGTAACTCATCGCTCCCTCATTTATCTGATTATAATTTATTGCTTCAGTCACGTGAAACCGAACGGAATTATATGAAAATCCAGAAGCCCAGGAATGGTGCAAGTAAAAAAAAGTGTTCAGGAAGGGAAGGCTCGGCAAAGCGGCACTCTCCATGTATTTACACCTCAGTACATTCCCGGCAATTTTACTGATTACGAAGCTTCGCTGTCAACAGAACGCAGAAGCGCATCTCAATAAAATTACACTTCTACACCCACGATCTGAGTGATTATGCCAAGAAACACAATTCGCACGCGACGACTTGTCATCAACAAGAACTGGCTATGAAAACCAAACAGTGAAACCACACCTGCACGAGTAGGAATTCGGCAGCTTCAGCAACCAATCTTCTTTGTTTTTCGATATCTTCATCCTCGGCATGGCGCACAGTCGTACAGTAACAATCCGGATTGAACCTGATCACAAATGAGTCGGTCTGGAGTGAACCAACTGCTTTCGCTGCTTTCGCCAACACCTGAAATATGATTCTACTAAAATCCAAAACAAAAGAAGTACATTAACCTTGCCAAGTAACCCAGGCTGGAACGCACCAGGTAGGCCGGTGCGACTATGCGTTTTTGCACTTTTCGTGCCGTAGCAAGACCACAATGAATCAAAGTAGCTAACCCTGTGAAATACTGGCCCTCGAAGTTCGGGAAGTTAATTGTGCAACTCT